TACCGTGAGTCTTTCCCCTGACAAAGCTTGCCACCGAACCTTCGCACAGGTTCCTCTCCTTGATGTCTTCTTCCTCTTTCACTTCAGACACTTCTGCTCTTGTCCCAGATCATAGCTGTCTCCTCAGAGGCTTCCTCTCCACCCCTTCACTGGGTCAAATCTTCCCATGTTTGGTTCCAGTATGTCTCCTTTATGAGTCTCCCATAGATGTCCACCCAAGAAAGAGAGGCCCTCGGCTGCTTGTCATCCAGAACACAGAGGCGGCTCATCCTTAGCAAAGTGAATGGGTGAGCGCATCGGTGAATGATCCAAGTTCCACCACTAGCTGGGCATATCACAAGATGCACAGCACCCTTAGGTATTTCGTGCATGAGAGGAAACCCACCTTGAGGTTTCACCTGTGGATTTTTCTGAAGCGGGGCTTCATGTGTCAGGAGAGTACGCCATTTCCTTAGCCCTTGGATATTGTTATGTCGTGCTACGAACGTAGCTCTTAATTTTAGGAAACAAGGACGAAGCTTGCAAACTAATCGAGTTAGATTCTGGAAAGAAACTTTTAAATGTGGATTATGTTAACTAGTCTCTTTGAAGTGTGTGTGTGTGTGCGTGCTACAATAGATTGAAGTGTGTATGTGTGTGTGTGTGCGCTCTGACAGCTTGAAGAAACTATTGAGATGTGTGTCATGACATAAAATGAAAAAAATAAAATGCATGATAGTAGAGATAACTAATTCTCAGTGCCAGGAACCTGAGACTTGTGACTGGATGCACTTAGGAAGAAAGACACTTGGAAATATTTTTAGAAGATGTTGTCTGAGAGCTGAAGGTGACTTATTCACAGATCTGTTAGCTGGTGAGAGAAGTGTATTTGTTATTATTCATAGTTATTATACATAGTGTTTAGTAGAGTGGCCACATACTTAATAAGTATTATTTTTTTGAGAGAGAGAGACAAAGAGACACACACACACACACACACACACACACAGAGAGAGAGAGAGAGAGAGAGAGAGAGAGAGAGAGAGAGAGAGAGAGAGAGAGAGAGAGATCAGGTTCTCTCCTTGTATGGTAGGTGGCTGTGGCTCTGCCTCCCTTAGCCACCAGAGCCAGGATTTGAGCAGCCTCACCTGGCAGATGAAGCACAGGTTATACACATTCATGGACTTCTTCCTTTGCTTTGCATCTGCCTTCTCCAGCCCAGGACCTGCAAGGCCTCCCTGGACTCAACAACTGGTAGCTTTTCACAGTGGGATTCTGAGATGCATACCAGATACAAAAATCAAAAGCCTTCAGTCTTTGCATTTAAGGATGAGGTCAGGTGGTTTGGATACAAACTATCCCTCACAGGCTCATGTGTTGGAGCATTTGGTCCCAGCTGGTGGCAGTACTTAGGAAAGCTGTGGGATTTTTCGGGTCACTGCATCTGCGGGCCTTGAGACAATGTAGCTTCCTGTTCAGAGCACATCCTGTCCAGCTAGCCTCTTGTGTCTGCTGCCACGCCTTCCCCGACACTATGAATGCTGTTCCCCTTCACCGTGAACCAAAACAAACCCTTTAATCTTTAAACCGCTTTTGTCAGAGTATTTTATCACAGCAGAGAAAAAAAAAGTAATGAAGACCAAAATGCTCTTAAGTATAGTTTTTTTTTTCCTTAGAGGACTCATGTATCCCTAGTGGTCTCTTGAACTCACTACATGGCCGAAGGTGACCTTGACCTCCTCCTGATCCTCCTGCCACATCTTCCTGAGTGCTGGGATCACAGGTATATGCCACCACACCTAGCAAGATAATTATAGCTTTCAACCCTCAATTTAAAAATGTTACGATACAGCCTCCTCACAAAGTCCCATGATCTCATTATAGTCTTAGTGTTGCTCTGGCCTCAGTCTTTGCTGGGTGTTGGGGCTGAAGACAGCAGGTGTCTCTCTGGGGGTGCTGCTGATGGGTCTGAGTCCAGGAGTGCTGCTGGGTGACACAGGAGATCTGCTCTCACTGTCTCCAGGAGGTGAGAGATATTCACAATCCTCCTTGCCGCACCCCTACACATCCATGTTAGTGTTCTGTGGGATCAGCCCCTTCCCTACATGCATGAGGGTACCCAAGTGGGATGAGGATGCATTTCCACACCAGGCCTTGTCCCTGTCCATACTCCCCAGGCCTCTTTGACACAGCTTCGCCTCTCTAGTTCCTTCCCTGGTGTTCCTTAAAGCCCCCCCCCATAGCAAAGCTGCTGGAAACTGGGAGACTGTAGTTAGTGGGGTCGCAGTTAGTGTGCCTTAGATGGTTTTCCAACAGGTCTCTGCCGGCATCTCAGCTGGGCACAATAATTTTACAGGGACCTTTCCTCCATCCCTTATCTGTTCTGTGGTCCCAATCTCTTGTCTACTGTACCTAGAACACAGCCTGGGTGTTCCAAGCCCCCCCCCATCACTCTACAGTGAGGGACACCGAACTCTGGATGTCTTCCACAACCCTAGGCCAAACACCAATGAGATAAAAAGGCCTCATATCACGCATCTCGAGACAGACTTGCGGAACTGGTAGGTTTCCAAAAGTGTTGGACAGTGTTCCTCTTTAGGTTAGATGCACTTCTTCAAGGTCTTCCAGTGACCATTGTCCACCCTCTTTCCTGTCCCCGCTGCAGAGACCACTTAGAAGGGATGCTTTTCCTTACTAGACGGGACACTAATGACTTTATCCTGGTGTTGTTGGCTACACGAAGACATGTAAGGTTTTGTGAAATGCTAATTTTCAGGTAGAATTTTTTTACTAAGTTTCTCTCTCCCCCATTTCTCTCTCTCCCCTCCCCCACCCTCCTCCCTCCCCTTTTCTCTCTCCTCTTCCTTTCCCTCTTTTAGGTGTGGTCTCTATGGAGTCTACGCTGACCTCACCCTTCCCATATTCTCACCTCAGCCTCCCAAGTAGTTAGGGTTCGGGGAACCCAGCCTGCAGCTTCTTTTCAGTCAGCCCTCAATCTGAAATAAGTCAACCAACTCTGCTTCCGTTTCACTGAGCAGGTGACCGGGACAGCACTCCCTGTCCCTCAGTATCTGTGAAACAGAGACTGCAAATCCTCCATTTTAGAGTTTTACGGTGAGGACCAGTGCACCAGGGATATTTCCAGCATGGGACAAGAGCTCTGTGAGCGATGGTGTGATGTACCCCCATGTCTCTTATTACTTCTAAGGTGTTCTGCATCAGAACAAAAACACAATATGATACAGATCAGAAATTCCCATACTTAAAAAGAAAGATGAATGTGGTTCTAATAGAAAAAATGTGCAAGTATATGTATTAAGATTTAAAGCATTGAGAGCATAGACTAAAATTTCCAGCTGTAAAGGGTGGGAGAAGACTTAGTGGAGAGGGGCGCATGAATGAGGATTCTTTGAGATTGGTGTCGATTTGGAACTGTGAAACTATTCCACGCAGTTACAGACACAAGTAAGTAAACAAAGACGGTTCTTAGGCAGTAAAGGTTAGACGGAACAAACTCAATTTGTGTAGGGAGTTTGGGCATTGAATAACTATACTGAATGGCTTTAAATAATGACCTGTATGGTGGGCCCCCAGTGGGAAACACTCTGAGCTGAGGAAGTAGAGACAGCCTTTCTATATGTTGTTTCCTCTTGCTGGCTGCTGCTGGTACCCGAGACTGTTGTCTGTGCATTGAGAGGCCATGAAAATCATGAATTCCATGCCCAGCATCTACACGGGGGGGACATTTGTTTCGAAAGGACCGAGCCCTATCCACTTAGAGGCTCCCGCAGGAGCTGCCCTAGCACTGAGCAGCGCCCTTCACGTTTAGACTGCGGTCTCTACACGTCTTAGCAGTGGGACGGAAGTTCCGCCTTCCAGAGACATGCCTGGTGCCATGAGACAGACTGGGAGTCCTTGGCCTTGGTTCCTGGCACAGAACCGACGTTTCACGGGGACCGTTGTCGGGCTCCCGGGTGGTGCCGGGTGGGACCTAGTTTCCAGCACAAAGAACAGGCTTGGAACCTTCAGCCCTTCCCGTCACTGTGACAAAGAACCCGAGGCAGTTGCCTTAAATAGAGGAGAGGTCATGTTTGACCCACAGTTTCAGAGGCTGCCACGGCTGCCTGTGCCTGTTGCTTTGGGTCTATGGCATCTCGTTTGTCTTCCTAGGGGCCTATGGTGGGGAGGACCGATGAACTCATGGAAGCCAGGAAATAGAGAGAGAGAGAGACACCCAGGAAGGGTCTCAGTTCCCATTGTGCCTTTCAATGACCCAAGTTCCTCCCAGAAGACCACGGCCCCTAATTGTTCCACAATTGGGGACCAAGCTGCTAACACATGGGCCTTCCAGGGACATCTTAAATCCAAACTGCAGAGTCCCTATTCCTCCAGGAACAGAGGTGGGCAGGGCAGACTGTTTACTCACCGGTGGCCAGTGATCTGATTAGCTGTATACATGGATTGCAGTTTTTGTGGTAACTTGGAAAGAAGGTGGCCCAGGGAGCTGCTGTCATTGCCTGGGTGTGCTGGGTGGGGAAGCAGGGAGCGTCCCCAGAGAGCGTGGTAGGTAAGGATCCCCTTGCCATTGCATCTTTTTATCTGGGTGTTACTACAATTATGCGTAGTTGTAGAGCTAGGCCAGTCTTCATTTCTCTGGGATCCCCCAGCAGTGACATCCTGAGGGCCTATTTGCAGCTGGCGTGGGGGTGGGGCTGTCTTGTGGGACTTTATTATGCCTGTCAGGCTTACGTGATCTGAGTATAGTTAGTATCAAGCTGAATTGCAGGACACTCGGTTGGCATCAGAGGACTGGAAACTGTTGAACAACAGGATAGAAGCCTCGTGAGATCACCTGAACTCACAGGAATTGGACTTGTGTTGCACAGAGGGTGTGGGGTGTCGTGGATATGAATGACTGAATGTTCAACTCTGGGCTCATAATCATGGAGCTGGCCATATGTCTTGGTTGCTTTTTTTTTTTTTTTTTACTGCTGTGACAAAACACTCTGGCCAAGGCAACCTAACGAGTGAAAGCCTTTAATTGAGCTTTTGACTTCAGAAGGCCAGGCCACGACTGGAGCAGCTTGAAACTCCCATCTAACCTGTAAGTAGGAGGCAGAAAGGATGAAAGTACACTGGGAAGGGGGTCTGCCCCCTAGGGCACCTCCTCCAACAAGGCCACGCCCCTCAATCCTTCCCAAACAGTTCTACCAACCGGAACCAAGTATTCAAAGTGCAAACCAAATCAAACCCTGTGAGCCCAGGGAGCAGGGGCCACACCAGCCTTGCAAGACGTTAGGAACTCACCTTGTGAATCTGAGAAGCGTTAAGAAAAATGACATTCCGGCTTTCCTGTGCAAATTACAACAGTAGACGACAACAGCGGTGATGGCAGCACCGTGGGTATAAGTCGAGGAGGCTGGGTGGACTAGAGGACCAGAGTCAGCTACCCTTGATAGGGGCATCCAGTCAATGCCATGCGAGAGGTGGCCAATGTCACGAGAAGAAACACACCCAGGACACAGGTACTTGATGCAAGAATTTATCAATATAAATAAATGCCCAACAAATCAAACTGTGAGTGACCCAGCCCCTAGGACCCTCTACCAATTTATAGCAAAGCCAGGGAAACAGAGAAACCCAAGTTATTCTTAGAATATGCAATGCAGCTAAGGGCCCTTTTTACTTGGTTTCTTCAACAAATAGATGGCAAGGAGGCAGGAGGGAGGGAGAGGAGGGAGACAAGGAGGAGGAAGAGGAAGACAACTCCTCCTCCGTCAATTTCGGCACTCACCTTATCTGGATAAAGCCAGGAATCTGCTGAAGCCAGGGATCAATGAACAAGAAGGAGAGGTACAGGCTGCTCCCTGTGAGGGAGCCAATGTGGCGAAGGATGAGTCGATGCTGAGTCCTCTTGGGATCAACACCTGCAGAGGTTGGACAGAGAAAGCAGGCAGAGACCCTGCTTGCCTTGTGGCCTTTGGGTCCCAGCCCTTTGCTGCTGACAGAGAGCTCTCTGGATTCTGGCTGTCCCAGGGAAAGGCGCATACCCCTTATGGAGCTGGAGTAATGAGTTCACTAGACCCAAGATAAATGATAAACGGGTGTTTACTGGGGAGCAACTTACACAGAATAATAGAGCACTCCTCTGCCCTTCCTACCGGAAGGCTGACCCAAGCGAAAGACCAGTGCAAGTGAGACCACACCTTACACTTCCCCCTTTCTGCATCAGTCTGCCTGAAGCCACACCCAAAGGGGTGTGGCCGCCGTTACAGGTTCACAGACAGGATGCCTATATACACTTGATGGGGGAAGACTGAAAAGCTGACGTCTGATGGCTGGCACGGCATACCTAACTGGGTCGCCTCTCCGGCGTACGACTCAATGTCCCTGCCGATGCCTGAGAAGGGCTGAAGAAGCTTAGAATGACTTTTGATTTTCTTTCTCGTGTCATGATTCTTTACAGTCATGCTTTAAAGTTTGCTCTTAGTGAAATGTGGGGGCAAAGGCCTATCATCTCAGCATTGGGAGGCAGAGGTAGGAGGATCCAGACTTCATGGTCAGAATAAAGTAGGCTTTCTTCTAAAAAAGAAAAAAGAAAGACTTCATGGTCATCTCTGGCTACATAATGAATTAGAGACCAACCAGGGCTGCATGAGACCCCATGTCAGCCCCACCTTCAAAACCAAACCAAACAGTATTTATCTTTTAGACATAGGGGCCAGAGAAACAAATATTTCCTAGTGAAGTAGTGTCACAGATGGAATTTACTTAAAAATAATACGTGTGTATATGTGTGTGGGGGGATATGAGGCAAAAATAAACTGTAAGTTGGTAATTGTTGAATTTGGTGATGGTGTGTGTACTTTGGCACACTGTTTTCTACACTTTGGATATATCAAGTTTTTCCATAATAAGAAAGGTAAAATAAAGATGATATGATTAAGATTTCCTTTTTTTTTTTTTTTTTTTGGTTTTTCAAGATATCATCTCTCTGTAATGCTTTGGAGACCTCCTAGGACTTGCTCTGTAGACCAGGCTGGCCTTGAACTCACAAGAGATCCGCCTGTCTCTGCCTCCCGAGTGCTGGGGTTAAAGACATGTGCCACTAACGCCCGCCTAAAATTTTCTTAATACAGGTCTGTCAGCAGGCAATAGATGGGCTTCCTGTGAGTAGGTGTCAACACTATTTTAACATGGCCCTTCTTTTCTGTACAAATCTGATTGGGTAGACAGTTGCCTAGCGTCTGAACGTCACAGTGAAGATGGTAAGTGAGCTATGTTACAGAGGGATGAGTTTATGTTGGAATGAAGAACCAACCAGTGCCTTGGAAGCCAGATGTTACTGAGTATCAGACGAGATCACTAGGAAAAGTGCCGTGGTGGTTTTTAAAGTGCAGCTCACATGTGTAAACTCTGACACAAGCAGGCTGGAGACAGTAGTCATCTCACTGCTGTCCATGAGGTTGAGCTGTTTATCTTTTCAACACGGGTTGGCTTTTCTATCTATGAAGTGTGATAAGGAAAAAAGATAATCTTTTTTTCCCCCTTGGAAACAAAAGGTTTGTACATCTAGATGAAGTCAAGTTAAAAAAAAAGCCATTCAGGCAATATCCTATTATGTCCAAATATTCAATTAAATACAAAGTGATTGTCTATGCAGCAGGGTTCCTTCCTTTTCCAAGGTCTGCTTGATGGAATAAATGAACTGGACCCCCCTCAAAAAATAAGCCAAGTTAAAAAATAACAGAGTATTTATGTCCTCATCCTTTCTCTTAAAATGAAATTCTTACCCACAGAATGTTTCCCAGGTATGGTCTCTAATGATCATCTTTTATCTGAATTGAGACATTGTGTCACTGTGAGTGAACCACAGCAAGAATGTGTGTGTGTGTGTGGAGGGGGTGCTGAAATCCTTTGTTTTTAAAGTTTTAATTAAAGCTTGTAATTCACATAGCAATCTCCCTTGTGTATCCCACGTCCATCATTGATAATTGGAAAGTACACAGTACCGTGCAGGCATTGTGTCCTTCCGTGTGGGGACTTGTCTCCACTAGAAGGATAAAGGAACATCTGTTCTAGGCACCACTCCTCCCTGGGGCCTGATTTGGCTCTTTGTTTGGACTAGATTCCTACCAAATTGGGATGTGGGCTCTAAAATCTTCTAATTAACCCTGCTGGGTGTCTTGCCCCATGCACGGTTATGTCTCTCCTTGGCTTCCCATTGGGTCCCCCGTCTCAGGTGTCAGCCAAGACAAGCCGGTGCCCACTGGGAGGCCAGAGGAAACTTTACAGATGTCACAGATTTTCTGAGAAGCTAGGTTCAGTCGTGGCTCTGCAGAGTAAAGGTGTTGATGTCCTGCGTTGGCGTTTGGTTGTCTTGGACTCCCTTCCCCTGGAAGCCCTTGGTGCAGGCGCCGTGGCCTTGTTGGTGCAGTCTCCCGTCCTGTGTGTGTGAGGGTTCTTCCTTATCCTGCCTCTTTCGTTACTCTTCCGCGTTCCCTTGTTTACCTACTTCCTCTCATGCCATAGCCCTTCCCCACCCTGTGTCATGTCGCTAGCTCCCAAGGCTAGACCCAAAGCAAGGCTAGCCCAAAGGATGAAGCTGAAGGACATTGCCCCTTCCAGGGCTTCCTTAGTTTTCCCCTTAAGTCTGTTGTTTGCCCCTCCATTAGTTCCGTAGAGCAGAAGGTTACCTCTTGCTCCTTCTTCCAGAGGGGTTGGAGGAATACAAGCTTTCTTTCTTTTTTAACTCTTTGAGACTTTTATACACGTTATCCGAAGTACTTAACCATATCTATTCCTTGCTCCTCTCATCTGTCTCCCCCCAGGACCCCAGCGCGTCTCCCTCCCAACTCCATGCCCTCCATACTGTTGTATTCTCACCAGTGGCTTCCTTTTAGCATGGCTGTGTCACCCGGAAACTTTGCATTAATTTGTAATTAGTTTTCTACAAGCTCAGGACTCCTGTCAACAGTAGCTGACGTGCTTGCCACAGAATGAGATGACTGCAGACACTCAGGGTTCACAGACCTCAAGAAGGGGAAGGGTGAGAGAAGAGGGAGCCACATGCCCATCAGAGAGGCACGCCCATCAGAGAGACACGCCCATCAGAGAGACTCAGCTCCCTTAGCTAGCCCCCCATCTTGTAGTGTTAGTACCAACTCCCAGAACACTGCCAGTCAGGGACCAATCAGTAGACTGAGTTTCTGTTCCACCTGGTCCTGTCATACTCCAGTCCCAAATAAGCACAGAGGTTTATGTTAATTATAAACTGTTTGACTGATGGCTCAGGCTTCCTACTGGCTGCCTCTTTCCTAATTATAGACCCATAACTATTTTTTTAAATTTAATGTGAAAGTTGTCAGGTTATATTTTATTTTAAAATAAGTAAGTCCAGCTAGAAGTCAATTTTATACATACTCTACCATAGAGATTAGGGTCCCTTACCTTTAAAATATTCCATATCTTTATACTTGTCTCTATCTCCAGAACCCAAGACCCTAACGCTTCATCCTAGCCCTAGGCATGGCTGTTCTTCTGCCTCCACCTTCTCCTCATGCTAGAGATTGGAGTCAGTACCTGACATATGTTAAACACACAGTCTGTAACCATTAATCTATTTCCACATGGCCTTATCTTACTAAAGAATGCCCAGACCTGTTTGTTACTCCTTCGGCGGACACATGACATCTCTCTGACGGCTCACTCTCTACATCCTCTCCCCAGAGTCCTCCTCATCTGGGAGCCCCACCCATACTTCTTACCTGGCTACTGGCCAATCAGTGTTTTACTCATCAACCAATAAGAGAAACATACATACAGAAGGACGTCCTCCCATCAAAGTCTTCAACACGTGACCCTTTTGGGGGACACTTGGTTGTAGCACAAGTTCTAGTTGCTCTTAATAATTAAAACCCAGAGTTGGGTATTCGGAGTGAAAGCTGACAGATCAGAGTCGCAGAGCAGTCAGTCACCAGAGCTCTCCCTCAGACTGTAAAGGGAGAGGAATCTAGCCAGCTGGGAGGTGACTCCCGCGTGTAGTTTTGACCTGTTCACAGCTTTTTCATGAATTCTTGCCCCGTGTTGGCTGCCAATGTGTAATGTGAGTTCTAATTGGTCTTAATAGTAAAAACTCACAGCCAAATGTAGGACAAATGCTGAAAGATCAGAGAGAGAGAGAAGAGCCAGCCACAGGCACTCCCAACCTTGCTCAGTCCTCAGCCGTAAGAAGCCAAGTTCCTGTCTCCTCCCATCTTGTAGTCCTCTCCCTGCCCAGCCATCCCTCTCCCGGTCTGTCTGTACAGACCTCTGGATCTCTATGGTTAGCGAGTGGCTAGCTCTGCCCTCTGATCTTCAGGCAAGCGTTATTCGTTAGACTCTAAACAAGATTTGGCATTCAAGCCATGACACTAGAGGGCTATGGGAGCCTGGGCTATTTGAGAGGCTTGACTGGGCCAGATTGTAACAGGAGTTAATAAAAGAGCCAGAGACCACCAGGTGGTGGTGGCGCACGCCTTTAATCCCAGCACTCGGGAGGCAGGGGCAGGCGGGTCTCTGTGAGTTCGAGGCCGGGCTGGACCGATAGCCTCCGAAGCAATACAGAGAAAGCCTGTCTCGTAAAAACCAAAAAAAAAAAAAAAAAAAAAAAAAAAAAAGACCCAGAGACTGATACTGGGGTTCAGACTTCAAGCTGAAGATCAGAAAAGCAAAGCAGCCGGCCACTAGCCCTCACCTCTAGCCCCTCAGGCTTAAAGGGCTGATCCATGCATGAGCTCTTCAAGTCTCAAACAGCTCCCTCTCCTCAGCATGGCTGGAGAATGAATGCCTCATACTGAATACAGAAGTCCCTGCTTCTATCTTTTATACCCTCTAGCGCTGGGATTAAAGGCATGTGATTCGTTTCTCTTTTAGACTGATTCAATCTCATGTATCCCTGGGTGGCCTTGGACTCAGAGATCCAGCTACCTCTTAATCCTGAGTCTCAGGATTAAAGGTGTGCACCACCACCTCCTAGCTTCTGGTTCCTGGGATTAAAGGTGTGTGCCTGGCTTCTGTGGCTTGTGACTGACTTTGCTTTCTGAATCCTCAGGCAAGCTTTAGTAAATCATAAATATTTACTAACATAAATGATATATCACACACCAGATGGCGAATGCATCAGAATGCTTA